AACAAATGAGGACAATAGAAGCAATCAAAACCAACAAAAGAGCAATAATATGCAAGTGCTATATTAGTATATTATTATAGTGTTATATTTCAATTTCACAAAGAAATGTGCAGCATTTTGTCCAAGCAATAATAAAAGGACACATTACAGTTATAATTTGTCTTAAATCTCATTTTGTAAAAAAAAAAAATAATAAAAAAATCGTGAATCAAATTGTGAGTTGAGTGAATCGTTACATCCCTAGTGTTGGGCGATATGGTCATTTTTCAAATCGTCATATCGCCAGTCCGTGAGATCGCCGATAGACGATTTGTGCTTGTTAACATTAGTTAATGCCCTGTGAATTAACATGAACTAACAATGAAAGACTATTTTCATTAACTAACATTAACTAATGGAACCTTATTGTAAAGTCTTACCAACATATCCAGGTTTTAGCCATGTTAGTACAGCAATTAACTTGAATATGTAGTATTGACAGTAGGTACTCATATCAGTAATATGATGCATTGTAGAATATCACGCATTACAAAATAATACTTGTAGGTGTAAATTGATGTATAAATAGTTAGAAATCAAGGCAGGATGCAAATAAAATAAACATCCACTGCTTGGCACCAAAACCTGCTCATGGTGTAATTGATCATGTGATATTCATTCACAGGGCCACACGTTCATCAAGCGGGCCGAGGTTGAGGAGGTGGATTTTGCTGGATGGTTGTGTAAAACCATGGGCCTTCACCAGCCCAGCACACCCACTCATAGTGCTGAATGAACGCTGGCTCACAGCGTAGTCACCCATGCCATCCTCATCCTCCGCTTTACTTCTCTCCTTTCTGCCCTCACAGGCCTGTATACTTGTAACCCTCTGACACACTGCTGTGCACTCTTTTGCTGTTCTCTGCTTGCTCTTCCCTTCCACTGAGGTGCATTCTGGGGCATTGTTTTATGAGAGCCCCTGGTGTTGGAACACAGTCATTTGAATGAATATGGAGATTAGAGTCACTTAAGTGGAGTGGCTATATTTTTAACGACCACATTATTCAGGAATGTCCAAATTGGTAAAGATCAGTTAGGTTTTGTTTGTATAACAGCTATTTCACTAGTTTTATGATGTTTTTGTTTTCTTTTCACGGTCGGTTTATTAATTCTATTCTTTGGCATTTAGCGTTACACTGTGTTAAAATGTATAGCTTGGTTCAATGGCAAGCATTTAATTGAGAATCAACTGCCATTTGCAAAGAAAAAAAAGGAAAGAAAACCAAAGAGGGCTTCTGTGGATCATAGAGGTTGGTTTATTACAAAGATGATTATAAATGCAAGATGGCCAAATCAGCAACGATCAAGTGCATACGTACAGGTGTTTAGCTCGTGCATTGCAGGTAGCACTGCTAGTGCATGGTCAAGTAATCCATCACGCCAAATAATGGCCATACTGTAAGTTTGCAAACATTAGCAGAAAGAAACATAAGTTTAATTAGAGTTCCTGTATCAGACGCCCTTTGTCCTACTTGCTGTGCCTGTGGAAAAGATTGGTCATTTAGTATTCATAAACCTATAAGGTTTTTTTTTTTTTTTTTTTTACAAAATCTTGCATCATTTTCCAACTTAAAATCATCTTCAGAAGAGTATATTTGGGAAGAATTATTGTTTATAACTTATGCTTCAATGTTCTTTTTTTTTTTTTTATGAAACCTAAAATTTCCTGCGTTAGACTTCAAGTTTGAATACAACCAGGGTTGCACCTAGTGCAGTGCTTTTACAATAATCCCAATGAATTTAAACACATCAAAGCTATTTCAACCAAGACCACAACAGGTACACTCGTAGTCTGGTCTTCAGTGGTATATAAAGTGAAAAGTAACGTCTCAGGCCACCATGTACAGTGCTATGCAGATCAAATGAACCTCAGCAGATATTGCTGTATTAGTAGGTCTTATAAATACACGGGTGTTACAGATGGGCATTGTGAAGTGTGGCTAAAGCCCACTTGCTCTAAATAGCTTTGTGCTTCTCTTTTTTTTCTCTTTCTCTAGTACTTTTCGGTAACATTGAAACTGTATTACACACTGGCATTCAGCTCCAACCAAGTGAATGCGTTGCCACACTTATGTGTATAAAAATATATGTGCAGTACAAATGGTACTGTTTTCAGTCTTAAAATAGCATTTATTTTTATTTTTGTTTTGTTTGTTTGTTTTGGCCTAGTTTAGAGAAGAGTATATAAGTCATTTTATTACCATATGGAATGTGTTGAATACAGTTCTAATATAAAAATAAAACTTATTTGTGAATGATAATTTGGCTGTAGTTGTTGTCAGTCTTATGTTTGGATAATGCTTAGAGTAAACCAGGATTAGATCAAAGTTCAATTAGGACAGTTAAGCAATTTTTATGAACGTGCTTAGAAAAAATAACATTACTTGGTGTGCATCTTGAGATAAAACAAAGGCACTGATATATTTTAAGATCAGTCAGTGCAAGTTTCTTTCAGTTGAAACAGCTCAGACTTACATTTTAGTCTAGGACTAGGCTTAAGCCTTGTCTGTGAAACCGGGGGATAGACAGCTAGATAAACATGTGATTTGCATTATAGCTGTTAATTTTTGGTATATTTTAGCACGGCTGTAATAACATCCAGTACCGGAAGATGCATATTATAAAATGGTTTATTAATACTATATAATGTATTATAATTTTTTTGTCTAAATTAAGCCAATGGTAATACAGATAACATACTTTGTACATGTGAAATTATGGCATGTTTCGAAAAAGAAAAAAAAATTGATTATCATTTAGCCAGTGCTTCAAGAATATGCATTTATTAACTTGAAATGCATTTGTGCACCTTTAAAGTGACGTGACATGTGGCCAAGTATGGTGGTGACCCATACTTGGAATTAGTGCTCTGCATTTAACCCATCCAAAGTGCACACACACAGCAGTGAACACACACAAACCGTGAACACACACCCGGAGCAGTGGGCAGCCATTTTTGCTGCGGCACCCGGGGAGCAGTTGGGGGTTCGGTGCCTTGCTCAAGGGCACCTCAGTCGTGGTATTGAAGGTGGAAGAGAGCGCTGTACATTCACTCCCTCCACCCACAATCCCTGCCGGTACGAGACTCGAACCCGCAACCTTTGGGTTACGAGTCCAATTCTCTAACCATTAGGCCACGACTTCCCCTTTTACAGCTTCTTTTAATTATGAATCAATTGTAAGTGTCCCAATTATACTGCCCTCTATGTCTGGTGTGTGTTAGTTCATCATGCTTGGCTCCTACTTAATACTTCAGCATTAAAGCACAACTCGGTGTCATACATAATTACACTCCTATGCGTCCACTCCCTGTTTTACAGGAGAGTCCTCAATTGTACAGTCACTCTCAGAGAGGTCATATACTGCTCCTCCTGTTTTTGAGAACTTTCAGTCCGGCAGCAGGTAAGCGGGCAAACGGGTCTCTTAAGTGGTGGAGGATAATCCATGTCTGTCCCGCTGGTCGACTGCACTCATTGCTTCTCTCAGCATGATTTTGGTGAGTATGGAGAATCACAGTACGCATTTTGTTGTTGGGTTACTTGTTTTTAATTACTGTTCATAGTGTTTTGGAGGGTTTGGTTGTTACATATAAAGGAAGAAAACCTGTCAAAAAGGTGTAGCAGTAAGTGAATAGTGTCACTTCTATCCGACGACCCCTTGAGAGTAGGTACAGACTATGAAGCTGTATTAGTTTGAGACGGTGGAGGGTGTGTGTATATGTATTGAGGGGGGTGCTGCTCGCAGACCCTGGGTGTCCTGGAATGTGCCATGGCTTGTTCTGGGGTGGGACTCCATGACCTCAGGCAATGGGATGGGTGGGTGCGACTGCATTCGTGCACACAGTGAAGAAAGAAGGACGGTTAACTCATTATTTTGGCGGACACACTCACCCAAAGTACACGTGCAACACCCCTGCAAACAACTTTGTACAAATACAGGCCGGTTTTACCAGCGATATTCTTGTGAACTCCACTGTTGTGGTAATGTCATGAGTGATGGTGGCCACTGTGGCATGATAACAGCCTTTTACTGTATTCCACAGAGAGGAGCAGAGGAGAGCAGCATGGGGGAATGCTGTTTCTTTAAGAGAGAGGGAGAGCGAGAGAGAGAGAGAGAGAGAAAGGGAGGGACCTTTTTGCCCTCCAGAAACCAGGAAGGGAATTGAGTTGATCTGCTAGTGCTTTGGTTAGCGCATACAGAGCTTTGAACAGCAGAGATAGCTAAGAGAGAGAGAGCTCCACAGAGGAGGAGAGAAGAAGAGTGAAGAGCTAACCCATAACAAGCACCGCCACGGCCATCGCAGGTGAGCTCATTTCCCCCTGCTTGTCCCCTGTGTTGTCTGCACAGGGCCTATCGACTGAAGGGAGCAAGGCTGAGGAGGAAGGAATGAGGGAGGGGGACAGAGAGGGAGAGAGAGAGTATGTGTGTAGGGGGTAGGAGGGTGCTCCTGTGCCAGTGAGGAATTATTCCTCTTTTTCTTTGGTCTTCCTAATAACTGCTTTGGTACACCTTCGCTTCACTGGCATTGCTTTAATAAACTTTTTTTCTGTACTTAGTTGTTAACTTTTTTTGTTGTTGTTTTGGAGGCAAGCCCTTAAGGGGTGTGTTTGTCAGAGGTTAGACAAGTGGACAACATAGTAGGAAGGAACCAAAAATAATTCCAAAGGACAAGGTACAGTGCTAAGCACTAGGGTCCACTTATTTTTTTTTTTAAACCCTTGTTGTCATTCATGAAGAAACAAACTCTGATAACTTGTGCACACACCTTTGGCTTTTTTCTTTTTGTCTCAAAGTGTATTTACACTGGTTACTGTTATGATGGAATATTTTAGGTTAAAAAAAGTATTTTGGGGCAAGAATGCTGAATATGTCAAATGATGTAGTGTGATGATATAAATTTATTGTATTGTAGTTCTACAGAGTTGTGTTTGGATCCCTTTGTCTTTTTTCATACGTACAGAGCTTGGCACTGCTTGTTGGCTGGTCTGTACTTTTAATACCTGGCATCCTGCTAGCAACACACGGTAGTGTATAATTCAGCTCTGAATGCTTACGTTGAAGCGAGCTCTCAGATGTGGGGGTGGCAAGAGCAAACAGTTTGGGACTTGTAGTTCTTAGCAGTGGCCTAGAAGAAGGTGAAGTCATTCTTAAGGACTGCGCTTCCCAGAGTGCCTTGCCCTTGGCCATACAGGAAAGGGAACAGCCGGTAGCCTATCCTAGTGGGGAGGTGTGGTGATTGAGGAGCGGGCAAGCCAATCGCAGAGGGGGAAGTGAAGCCAGAGCAGTGGGCTGAAAATAGAGTGGGGGAGTTAGTAGGTGGCTGCCTGTGTGGGATCAGGCAAGGGCTTGCCTGTGTAACTAGGGCCACTCGGAAGTTTCCTGTCTGCAGTTGCTCCAGACCAGAGCCCTGCCCAGGCACGCAGGCAGGCAGAGGAAGACTGAGCTGACCCACAGGGAAACAAAATTCTGGCCAGCCGGTAAGAGCTCCAAATGCACTCTCACTCTCTCTGGTGTCTGAGACGGGAAAGGCAAGCTAGAAGAGAAATAATGGAATCTTTAAAGGGGAAAGAAAGGGACTTGGCTCGATTAAGTTCAGAGCGCTTGACCCACTTGCAGATGGCATAGAGATGGAAAACGGAGGCCTGCTGTATTAAGGTATGACTTGGTGAGCTTCTGTGCATCGAGTTTCACTTTCCAAGTACTTTCTTAACTGAGCTATGTCTTTGTTGTGATTCTTAGTTTTGTCTGATCTGACTGTTAAAAATGGTCATTTAATAAAGAAAATATTTTCAAGCAGATTCATTTAAGTTTTGGTCACAAAAGGTTGTTAACTGTAACTGAAATTCACATCAATGATGTCCTGCTCATTGAGATCTCTAAGAATCTTGGACTTTTGGAAAGTTTTTTTTCCTCTTCTCTTGGCAGATCCCTTGTAGGCTTCTCTGCCCCCTCATTCTTTTTATAGCTGTGCCATAATGCACATCAACATCATCTCCCTTGGTAAGGGTCTTTAACAGGGTCTCATGGCTTGTCAAATAAGTAGACTACATGTTTGTCCTGGACTCAAAGGAAGCTGCAGCCTTTTTCGCTCTTTTTTTAAATTTTTTATTATGATTATTCAAATGCAGATCGTTGCCAACCCATACTTGTTCGACTCGTTTTCACTGGTGCAGGTACAGTGAGGACGCACGGGGTATTTTTATTCACAGATGACGCCCAGTGTCTGAATAATGCACAGACAAGGCTCCTTGTCTCACTGGGGTGAGGCCGATCTTTATTGTCTTTTGCGTGTTTAACTGGCAAAGAGATTCTTACCCACCATAAACCAGTTAACACTGTTTATAGTTAAATTACCTGACAGGGTCGTTTCAGGTCAGCATTTATGACAGGAAAGGTATGTGTGAACTTCATGCTGATACACTATCCAGTGTTTCTTTTGTATTAACTTAATGTGTTTTGTTTAGTGAGAAAGTGTTTATTTCACTGAGCATGTGTTTTGTTACATCTATGAAATTTCAGATTTTTTTTTTTAGCTTTTTAAAAACTGACTAAATATTAGTTTTGTTTGCCTTTGTGTTTATATAAAGTTTCAATTGCTAGACGTCCAGTGTGAATTGGTTAAGGTTTTTATGCACTTGCACGTACAAAATATTTGACTAGCTTTTGAATGCTTATGAAATAGAAATTTGATTTGAACTTACACAATCCTTCTGAAAATTTAAGGAAAATTGTCTTCTGTTGTAAGGACATGTAAAGCATCTGTTTTTGAGTCCTTGTGCAGTGCAGGACTGAGGGCTGAAGGCAGAAGTTACCAGCTACTGTTTGGCCAAAAAGTATAATTCTAATGCTTAAGTAGTCTTTGAGCTTTTAGAACACACTTTGAATTGGCTCTCTGAACAAGGTTTAGTTTTATTACGTCTGGAGAACAGTGGACATTTGTGAAACATTTTTGAAGTGATCAAATTAAAGACTTATGCTGGGAGATGGGCTGCTGCAAGCTAGCATCACTATCGGTAATCAGAGAGCTCATCTCATTATTCTCTCATTGCACTCTTTAAAGGGCCTTCTTCCACTTGTTCTTATCTGCTGAGAGTCTGTTGACATGATGAGTGAGGCCGCCGCCTTGGTTTCCTTGACAGTAATGTGGAATCCAATTGCTGTAAGTTTATGCTCTCGCCCCCATTCGCTATTGTGGAGCTCGACCTCCAGCAGGTGGAGGAGTCCTTGACATACTTGCCTTAGTGTGATCGTTCGGAGATATGCTGGGAGGTAGAGCTGAAAAAGAAAATCCTGGGTGGGTTGTCATGTCTTTTTGCTGCCTCAGCAGAGGCAAAAAAGGGAAGTGGAAGCTGTGGTGGACCGGTGGTGGAGTGTGCAGTGCAGTGTCTGGGAGAGCTGGTCATCTGATAACAGAGCGGGTTCTGTTACACCATCACCAGAGTCATGCAGGAAGTCTTCTTCCGCTCAACCGGCCAGGCTGCCGCAGCAGCAGAAGAGCTCAAGACACGGACTGTGGCCTGAGCGCAAGGGCACTGGAAGGGCTGGTGTAGCGCTGTCGCCATTACTCAATTTTGTTTCTGTTTCATTTGTTGGTTTTCTTGCTCTTTCCTTATTTCCTGGCCCAGCCACAGTTTGTCCAAAAGACTGAAGTTGTGGGCAGCTCAAAGACAGATGCAGGGAGTTAGGCCTGGAAAAGTTTGGTCAAACTATGAGGGGGGCGTCGTGGCATTTTCACACGTGGGCTTCATTCTAACATGGGATTCTAACAAAGCTGCTGCTGGTCTAGAAAGATTGTATACATGTTGTTGCTTTTGAAGCTGGGTTTCTTGCCTTATCTGCTCTACATTTTCCTGTATATCTGATATACTTCTGTAACTAAGACCTTTAATATCTCACCATAAAGAGAACATAGTTTGCTTGTACTATTGACCCCATGACATAAGATCGATTTTTTTTCTTTCTTAAAGGAGGACGTGATTTTGTGTCTATAGAAGGTTCCAGCAACTAAAGTGAAGTAAAATAAAGAATTGCGCTAGTGTGCACTTGTTTCAAGCAGCCTCACCCAATACCTTTTGGGGGGGCATTGTGAATACAAGTTTGGATTTTTGGCAGCCTACTGACATCTCCAGTGAAACGGCCCAGCACTTCAACTCCAGTTTTATCAGTTGTTCACCCACTTCCTGCTTGCTCTTTTTGTGACCAATCATGCTTCCCTAACCAATGCTGGAAGGAGTGACTCATTTGCAGGGCCTTGCTCAAAATCCTGTTCTTCTTGGAACCAGTCAGCCCCTCTCTATACTGTTTACGATTATCCGGTAATATCCTCTCTGCCTCGACCTTGAACCCTGTCAACCTAGTGTAGTGACTCCACTTCCCTCCCTCATGAGGCAGGAGGAGCTAATCACACAAACACACACACACACACACTAGCTTGTACATACATACTGAGTGGACATGCATGTCAGAGGGATGCACTGTGTACATAAGTCACATGTTTGGCATTAATCCTCTCAAAAGATTCTTTCGAAGGATTCCAAAGCTCTTGTCAAATGCACAGGTGTGACTGGCGAAGAAAGAAATTTAATAGAAAGACACCAAAGTGTTCCGTAAAACCCTGCTGCTTGTTTTGGTTTATGTCATTTAGTCAATGTGTGTTCCTGGAATGTGTGACATGTGCTTGCCTAAGATGTTTCATTCTGAGGTGTCAGTGTTCGGTTCATATAATTAGCAAGTAAATTTACCATTTGGTGTGTTTTGCTGGATTAGCGTTGTTTTAAAGTTAGTTGAGGAGAGATGCAGCTGCATTCTAAGAACTTAATCACCAAACACATTAAATACCCTAGATACAATTTGATTGACAGTAGTTACCTCATGATTCTTATAAAAAGATTTTACTGTGTTGGCGATGTTATTTCCAACAGATTACACAATTCTGAACTAGTTATATTGTAACCTTTCATACCAATAGGTAATGTGATAGTTGAACTTCTAAACTCGTTTATTTTACACTTGCCCAGATGAATTATAACAATTCAAATACTCGTTACGACAGTTTGACAATCTCTGAAATCTATTTTCGATAGCCTCACTTCACATTGCCTGGGGGGGGTTGTTAGGGGAGGGTGGGGGCTGGGGTGGGATGAACATTCGCAGTAACTTGTGGTTTGACTTGCAAAGTAGTTGAGACCTGTGCGTGCGGCCAGCAGAAAAGGTCTGAAATGAGACGTCGGGCCGTTTCATGGCCCCTGTCACCCATAGCCATGAATAAGTGATAAAGAATGTTGGGAGCCCTGAGAAGGTGTCAGGATCAGGTTTGTTTGCACTGTTTCCTCTTTCTTTCAGCTTTGCATTGGGTTTATTCAGGGACAGAGATGCTGCTTAACTGGTGCCTTGCTAACACCCACAAGCTGAAGTGCAGAGAGATGACTTTTGGTTTTGTGTCTCTTCTGAGAAAAACTCCCTTATGATAGCAAAACTACTCTTACTCTCTTTCTCTGAAATTCATGTTTTTTTCTGATTTCATAGGTTTTTCCAGGTGTGGCACAGGTTCCGTGTGAATCAAGGTAAATTGTCTGATCTGAAAGGGTATATTTTAGTGTGTAATGAGACCAAAATTGAAACATTCCTTCATCATTTACTGACCCTCAAGTAGTTCCAAACTTGTATGTTTTTTTTTTATGGGCAAACTATCCCTTTAAAATAAACACCATTTTTGAGTCAGACAAATTTTCTTGATATATGAGGAACCATACCTGGAAACACTTATTGTCTAACCCAACCTCCAGCCTGGCTTCTACCTTAACTTATTCAAATTCTCTGCAATAAAACAATGAGATAGAATGCACCTGTTAGTCAAGTAGATGGAGGGTGGTGGGGGGTGGGGGGTTATCGGAGAGATAACAGAAAACCACAGAGAAAAGTGTGAGGTATCAAAGCTTGCCCTACAGGTGCCCATCATTTAGCTCAAAGGTGAAGAGAGAGACAGAGAGAAGGGCTTAAGCCATTGGCTTATGGACATTACCATCTAACTTAAAACTATCTAACAAGATGTGGTCCAGTGGGGGACTATTATTGGAATGCCTTCACTGAAGTGTGCTATATAGAATTGTGTAGTGCATATGTGTCCTAGTTTATGGTATTTTCATCATGTTCTGACACTGAACTCTTTAACTGTATTTGCTGAAATCAGACAGCATGAAAAAACTGCATACAAAAGGTGAGCCTAAATGTCATCCACATAATGCAAGCAAGACAGGTAGTTGGGGTCAGATTTGCTGCTGTGTTTTACTTTCCCACTATCTCTCAATTGCTACAGCAATAGTGACCTGACTTGGTGCCAGCTCTCAAGGTGTGGAGGAAGACAGCTTTGTTCATGCGTGAGAGAGAGAGCGAGCAAGCAGCCAGGTTGACCAGGTCTTGCATGCATACCAAGGGGCTTGATCTGAAGGAATGTCATTTGAATTCATTGCTCTTATTGAGTATAATCCCCTTGTGGCCTCACCCCCTGCTGGGTCACTCTGGCAGATGGAGGGGCGGGGGCTAGTTAGGCTGTTTGGTGTTCACGTGTGAGTGTGTGTTTGCTAATAGACAAATCAAGGAGGGTTGCCTTTCAGAGCCCCCCCTCCCTCTACCCTCGATTGTACTGTGGTCGATCATTTTAATCTCCCCCCACACGTGATCAAGGGGACAGGCCTTTCCTGAAACTTGCCACACAGTGCAGGGTGGGGTAACCGGCTCAGACCGGATGGACAACCTCCCTATTTAATACTGTTCCCTTGCAGCCCTGCGTGTGTCCTCCTACTCTTCCTCCTCCTTCTCTAGTGTATTTTTTTTCCACTCGGGCCTTTAGCCGGCAACCCCCTGCCCCCACCCCCTTCCCCAGAAGCCAACTGACACGCAATTCAGTGCACATGGTGCCCAGCCCTACTCTATGTGCCTTACACTCCCCCACCCCAGCAAAGCTGCACAGTACTGAGTCTCCTTTTCCACTGCCATCATGACAGCAGGCTTGCCACCCTCTGACATGCTGCTACATTTGAATTCAGTTAACACCCTAAACTGATTGCTGTAAACAAGAAGGCTGTTTAGATTGCTTTTCAAGTCAGATTAAAGTCTCAACTCCCACAAGTTGAAGTCAAACAGCATCTTTCTGACAGCATCACGAGATGTTGTACATAACCTGTAGATTGTTTGATTGTCATAAAGACCACTTTAAAGCAACATTTTTTGCATCATCAGTACACAGCAAATAGATAAGGTTAGGCAAACATTTTTAATAGTGAAAAAGAAACTGGTGAACTGAACTATAAGTTCTATATGTGTTCTGTACTTGGTGTTAAAAAAACATGCCATTATCATAAGCATAATTGATACCTTTTCTTAATTTCAATAATTACACCAATTCCCCGTGGACTTTAAAATAAGTCTTGCAACCAGCACATTGTGTATTTACAGTCATGGCTTGTTGTCAGAATGTCCTTTTATAAATTGATGCTTCCATTTGTGGTTTGGATAATCTTGACCAGTGGTCTTTCATATAGTAGCCACCATTTTGCCACTATCTATTAGCCTCTCTGCTTCATTTGCATACAGGGCTTGGTCATTGTACCCTGGATGGTAATAGAATGCAAAGAGAAGGGACAGCATAAATACGGTCCAAATATAAAGTGTTAGTGTATTAAGCAGCAGCATGAATTGAGCTCTTCAGGTCATTTGTAGTAGTACTTTGTAGTACTTTTATGTAAAATACTTTGCCTCAATTTTGTATCAATGATATTTCTTTTAATATTTGCCAGCCACTTTGTCACTTTATGATTAGTAACTGTTATTGTTCCTCAAAATTCTTAGACAGGCAGACGGACAGACGGCAGGACGGACGGACGGGTGGCGGCGGCGATTGGCGGCTCGGCGGCAGGCTGGTGGAAAATGTCGTCGGGAGCAGGTGGGCGGGGAAGACGTGAGGGAAGGGCCTGTGGGGGAGCAGGCGAGGTAGAGGAAGGACCAGTGGGCATCCCCTTCCCCGAGCACAGTGCTGACCTGCTAGGCAGTCTCAACCGCCAACGGCTAAGTGGGCTGCTGTGTGATGTGCTACTAGTGGCTCAAGAGAGAGAATTCCCTGCCCACCGCTCCGTGTTGGCTTCCTGCAGCACCTACTTCCACAAGCTTTTCACCTCGGGCCTGGCTGCTGACCGCCAGAAAGTCTATGCGCTGGACTTTGTGCGGCCTGAGGTGCTGGCCGCCCTCTTGGACTTTGCCTACACAGCCACACTCACAGTCAGTCGAAACAGTGTGGTTGACATCTTAAGCGCTGCCCGTGTGCTGGAGATCTCGCCTGTCCAAGACGTCTGCACACACCTGCTAGAAACCAAAGTGCTCTCCCCGCCGGTGGGTAACGTGTGTTTTTTACAACTTGACTAATGAATGTTTTGGAGCGATATAATGATGTAGTCCCATTTCTTTTTGCAGGCGGGCAGTGAGCAAGAAGAAGACCAGGAAGAGGAGGAACAAGGAAAGAATGGAAAAGAGCAGGGCATCCGGCTGCGTGCCCATGAGTACTTGGAGTTCTTCCAGAGGGGGGCGCATTGGGGTAGCAGCTGCAGCACGCCTGAGCTCAGGGACCTGCCTGCACACCTGCACTTTAGCCAACGCAACGGTGCTGACAGCAATGGCACGCCCATCGGCCCTGCTGACTACTACTCCTCACTGGCCCAAGCCCTATCACAGCCACCTCGTGAACCCGAAGACAAGGATGTGGATGAGGAGTGCCAGGATGGACCTTCAGTTCTAGCTCGAGGGAAAGGTGCAGAGGCTGTGATGTCCATTTATGCTCCCACTCAGAATGGACATTACTATCTCCATCAGGCAGAGCCCAAATCAGAGATGGAGGTTGAGGGGACAGGTGAGCGGGAGCACGAACAAGGCCCAGCCAGTGCTTTGCTACAACAGATGATGGACTCCTTGGAGCAGAAAAGGGAACAGGCCACGACAGGTGGTGGAGGTGAGGAGGATGGGCCGGAGGGCGAAGAGCCAGATGTTGAGTTTTACTTGAAGTACTTTAATAGTGTGCAGCACGAGGAAGCCACCAGTGCCCCCATGTCTCCAAGTTTGCTACCACTGTGGTCATTAAGGGGCAACGGAGGTGGAAACCAAGCGACTGGAGGGGGTAACAACAGTGAGAGGAAGATACGGTCTAAGGCCTTCCAGAAGTGCCCTATCTGCTCCAAGGTCATCCAAGGTGCAGGCAAGCTTCCACGCCATATCCGTACACACACAGGAGAAAAGCCCTACGAGTGCACCATCTGCAAAGTGCGATTCACCAGGTAAGCCTTTCTTTTTTTTGTCATTTTGGTTTTGTCTTTGGGAAAATTGAGAGTTCAATTTGTATTTTTACATACACTTCAGCATCTTGTGTGCTATCAAATTTAAATGGGCAGGTATTCAGTACACTAAAGAGAACACAGTCAGCCATAACAGGGCTCCAGACTGCGATTAAAACGGTCGATTAAATACCAAAAATATTAATTTGCGAGTGAAGTTTTTGCTGAGGTCGCCACTGGCGACTATGTATAGCTATTTATGTTATGACTTAAAAATGTGCATGTAATGGCTTTTTCCTGATTGTTTTGTGATCACATCTTTTGTTAATTTGACATGATAAACTGAGATGACGCACATCAAAAATTTAGTGGAAAAAAGAGTTTCAAACAGTCCTCGTCTCAGCCGAACAGCAGCGTTGACGCACACCTGCTAAACGCAGCTCCATTGTGCAGCACGAGAGAGATCGGAATGACGGAGACGTTCAAAGCAGTGTCTATTTCGTGCTCAACTTGAACAAACTACAGGTAAAACTGTCAGTTGTGTGGATATTGGCAATAACGTTAACAGTTCTCATTACTAATGGCTTCTTGTTATCAAGATCTTCGTCTATATACTGTGTTCTGTTAGTGCGTGAACTTCATATTATTTGAAGCTCACTTGCCGTCCAATAATCGCAAAAAGCTTTGTGCTTTGTTACATTTTAATAAACAAAGTATCCGCTTTAAAATGATGCCAAATTCATAACGAAATTCAAACAATAAATACGGTTTTGGCGCTCTAATGCGGCAGGAGCGATCACTTTAGCGCCTCAGTTCAAGCAACATGTGAACCCATTCATATCTCTCTTTATTACTATAGTACATAATGAACGTGAATTAACATCAAAAGGTAGGCTATTTTATAAGAGAGCCTACAGTACAACTTACTGAAATGTCTCGTGTAAAAGATCATTCATTCAGTAATGAACAATTCTTGTGACCGTATATTTCAAGCTGGAAAAGACATTTAGTTCCCACTTTAAGTGAACCTTAGTTCCCAGGTCATCTATGGATTAAAATGCTGATAAAGTCAAGAAAAGATGAGACATAAACAGGGTGGCCGCGGGTCCTTAAAAAGTCTTAAAATGTCTTAAATTCAGATTCAGTAGGTCTTAAATATTTTGGTCACATATATTTAGTTATAAATATATGTACATATATTTACATATATACATATATTTAGTTATAAATATATGTAGTTACCGCGTCATCGGAGAGAATTGCGGTTACAGAATACAGTCGAAAACCAGCTTGCTGTCCAGCCTCCGAACTACTTTAAATGGGTTCATGCAAGTTTACTGAAAATGGCTTGAGAATTGTACTTGCCCGACAGGACTAATAGCCTGATTAAAACTTAAGTGACAAAATATAATCACGCATCAAAACGCGCGAATGATTCTTCTGATTTTATTACATTCAGCTTAAACAGCGATTGATAATTGATAGTGTATTTCTATTATCAATGTCGCGCTGTTGAGGCTCGTGCTGCCTGTCTCTATGAGAGACTTTCATGGAGAAATCAAATCAAATGAGTGTAACGACACACATAAAGAAACTCACAGAACAAACATTTTGAGGTAAAAATTCAAAATGTTTAGTTTATTCATAGCATGATATAGTTAAGTAACATACCATGACAAGGGAGTAAACACATGACAGTATGATTGAAATGTTAAAAATAAAAATAAAAAAAGAATAATAATAATAATAAAATAAATAAAACACGTTTATTCTGTGGCACCTAAAAAATAATTTTAGTTTTTTTTCTTATGCGAGCCAATGGCTCCTTGCTCGATTTTTTTTGTCTGGAGCCCTGCATAAAGTTGTTTTATGTTGACAGAAAGGCTGCATGACAAAGTCCTGGAATTTTAACAAGGGGGGTCCAATAAAAGTGGGTTGTGGTAGCACAGCCTGGTCTACTGTTATCAGGGATGAGGCTGTTATAAAACTCTCAATGCCGATATTGAAAGGGATTACAGCACGGTGGCCTATCTACGCCAGTGAGTCAGCTGAACTTGTGACCCTGGGTGTTACGTTGATTATTGCCCCTGGCACATACAGCCCCTCTTTCAGACAAATGGCTGATGAAAAATACTGTGTGCTATAATACTGAATCTGTTAGCAAGCTGCTAGCATGGCTTACCCTGCACTTAAGGGCATCACCTCTTCCATGAAACCATCGCCTTAATGAATTAATCAGGAGACATGCATTGGAAATAGACACTATGCCAAAAATATCCAGTACCCTATTTGCGTAGAGATGGATCTAAATTTGCCACCTAAATACGCCACCTATTGGGAAGGGGTACTGTAATCTTAATCCTGTTTGATCAGGGTTAAGAGTGCGCTTCACTCACACTGAAATAAATCAATCCAATCTTCTAAATAATTCATCTCTCTGTGCCCCACTCTGTTACATTGTGTGTGTGTGTGTGTGTGTGTGTGAAAAAACACATTTTCTCACAGGTGTGTATGTATATATCCATATTTTGGTGAATGTATGCGAAAGTGGAGGAAAGATGAGAAATTATGAGTGAGAGAATCTCCAGATACATTCAAACATGTTTAAATACACAAGTAGGCGTTAGCGTGTGCACATGTCTGTGTTTACATTCTCGGGTGTGTGTCTGTCCATGGACGCATGTGAGTGTGTATGTGTGTTCTGTAAGCCTCCAGTATTCTGGATGGGTCAACCACCCTAGTTTGTTTAGTTGTACTCTGCCCCGGTCACGAGCTTAGGGAGAGGGACGGAGAAGGGTAAGATGAGAGCAGAGTCTTACAACAGAGGGCCTTGCATTTGACACCACACTATAGCTCCCTTATTGGTGCAAAACAATACACTTTGACAGTATGCTGTCTCTTGTTGAAGAAAGCCTACACTTTAGCCATTCAGACCAGTTTGACCAGTGTCAGTGTGGCTGGGTATCGTTCAAAAATGTTCGATACCGATACCTTGACTTCGATACCGGTTCCTGAACAATACTTTTTTCGATACCAATTTTATGAAATCAATTTTAACAAGATTACATTATCTAAAAAAAAAAAAAAAAACTTTGGTTTTATTTTTCAGCTTGTTGATGTTTATACAAACTCAAAAACTCATCTCCTGAGCCACTGCACAAAGGATTGCTACCGAACGGCGAGACGTTTTTCGATACTCTATGGTATCTAGGCAATTCGGTCGGTGCCTAAAAAGTATCGAACTCGATACCCAGCCCTGTGTGTCAGAAGTCAGAAATCTGTATAAACTGTTGACCAACATGAAAGTTAGTTTTGTTAGATGAACATTTATAAAATATACAGTGCAAAATTTGGTTACACAATTGTTATATTTTATACACTGTTAATGGTGCTTTGAAATGGTTGGAGGACAATTGAGGAAAGACATTAAAGGTTAAACCACATTCTTCCAAACCTGTTCCTCAACCCAGCACACCTTTTGATTTTCGATCTTACGTTGGTTTCTTCCCATAAACTAAAATCTCTCCTAGTTGAACTCAGCGGCCACTGAAGATTTTAAATTTTGCTTGTAAAACAAGAGCAATTGTGCTCTTATAACACATTCACCATTTTAAAATGGCTCTTTTTTGGAAGCCACTATGACTCTGAACTGAACATTGAACCCTTCAGTGCCTCATTGGCCTAAAAAGAAATTATGGTGATAAAGCTGTGAACTTTATGGCTCTTTTCCTCATATGACCTTGGGTGCTTTCAGCACAGAAGAATGAAAAATAAACTTGACTTTACTCTTAAAAGTAAAGATAAGGAGGTCAGACTCCTTTTGAGAATACATGTTGTCTTTGATGGGCAAGAACAGACAGATATATGTATTTACATCCTTATATTTGTGTGTTTATATGTAGTTTATTAAATATATGTGTGCATGTTTGCCTTTGCTAATGATCTGTGTGGCTAACCTTACCGGTGTGTCTTAGTAGTAGTTAGTGACTCACCCCACTGTCATAAATTGTCTTTCTGGCACATCAAGTAATTTGGGAGTGGCCATTTTAAGGAATTATAAGTATATAAAGTGTATTAGGCATGTATTCGTGTATCATGGTATTGTTTTGTTAATTTTCTAACCTTGAATTGCTGTTGAGTCTGTCATTGTTAATTCAGTTGCACTTTATTTTAGAGTATGTGCACTTACCTGAACTTACAGTGTACTTACCTAAGAAAGTACTGGATGAAATAAGGTAACTACATGGGTTAGGGTAGGCTTAGGAGTAGGTTCAGGGTTCATACCCAGTTATTGTAATTACTATAACAAGTAAATAGTACATGCGGAACAGGAATGTAAAATAAAGTGCTACTGTTAATTTAATTCGCACAAACCCATGGGTAATGGCTCATCAGAAGTTTTTGTATGCTCTTTTTCAGGCAGGACAAGCTAAAGGTTCACATGCGCAAGCATACAGGAGAGAAGCCTTACCTGTGTACTCAGTGTGGTGCCGCCTTTGCCCACAACTACGACCTGAAGAATCACATGCGTGTGCACACAGGCTTGCGCCCCTACCAGTGCTCCAGCTGTTTTAAAACCTTTGTGCGCTCAGACCACCTCCACCGGCATCTCAAGAAAGATGGCTGCAACGGCATCCCTTCCCGTCGAGGCCGCAAGCCACGCATACGAGATTCTGAGCTCCTGGAAGGTCCTATGGAACTTCATGGCCCAGAAGCAGACATTGAGAGAGGTCGGCGGCATCCGGACAGGGGCACCGGAACATCAGTCATGGAGGAAAATCACGGTAGTCACACGCACAGTCCGGTTGCCGATGGGGAAGGTAGTGAAGATTTGACCTCGGGACAAAGGAACTCCGCAACAACATGAATAAACTTCTTCAGAGAGGGCTTTACTCAAAAACAAGAGGAAGAATGAAACCGAAAAATAAGAAAAAAACAACAACAAAAAAAACTTAAAACTACATGGTCCTCTTTAAAAAAAAACAAATCAGGGTGGCACGCAAATCTAATCTTCTAGTTTCTTTTTCCTCCTTTTTTTTAGCTTCTGCATTCCACATAGAGACTTAACCACCAATTTACTGGTCTGTTATAATGGCGTAGCCATGTGCGTACGAGAAAAAGCTACTATGCAGATTAAACAAGTTCCTCATCTCTGGGTTACATCTACATGGCCTTGTCTTAAAAAGTAAGGTGTCAAACACCAGGCTGACTCTGCTTCAACAGGTTAGCTATGAATGGTCTAAGATGTGATCAATGCAACCAATAGATCTCTTTTTCTAATGCAATGAGCAACATGTACATACACTATACAAAATTATATTGTCTCAGATTGCAATATATGCAATATTCTGATGCAGCACCTTTTTTCTAAATGTTCCAGAAAGAATTGGACAGGGGTTTAAAGTGTTACTTTCTCTATAAAATATGTTTTTGAGAGTTTATATTTTCGTGGTGTAACAGGTTACCGTTTTGATCTACATGGGGAGATTTCGTTAATTTGTTTCTGGCAGGGAGAGAGGGTAAGACAAGGGATGAGGTCCTGTGTTTCTAAAGCACTACCTTCATCTGATTGCCACTGGACACAATCATGTTAAATCTAACCCCTTACAGGCCTGCTTTTCCTTATTGGCAGTCCTACTTGCATTATATTCTCTCTTATTTTGGGGATTGTCTTAATATTTTGTCATTTGATTTTTCTTTTGTCCTTTGAGTTGACTAGTTTGGGTACTTGACACTTTATATTTGTATACGTGTGTATATATTAGGTTGTAATCTTATGAGACCCTTTATAAGACACATATTGCAGATATATAGGGTTACATCATCCTTCAGCTTCACTCCAGGTTTCTCACTGCGTTAAGTTTGCAGGGGGAAATACGCTGTTTGATGTTTTAGAGCATTATAATTGAGAAACCCATTTTTTCCTAAGCTGCACTTAATGGAGCCCAGAAGTTTCCACCCAGTGTATGAATTGTGATAATGTGCTTCATTTTGAGTCTTTCTGCAGGAGGGTGAAACTGTATGCAACAGACGAGTGAGGGCACCGCTGTTATACAAACGGCTGGTGAACAACTTAAGCAGGGAATCTTTTATTTGTTTGTTTGTTTCAGTGACAGAAGAAGAGATAAAGAGTGCACACCTTTTTTATGCATTTGCACAGCTTTACTAAAGATATCCAACAGAGATAGAGAAATATCTATTTAAAGAGACCGTTTGGGTTGGGGAGATACAAAGTGCTTATTCAATTTCTTTGCCCAAGGGACCACAGAAAAAAAAATCTGAAACAAGATGAGCAATAAATTAATGTCCAATTCCAAATAAGCACACCGCTGTAGCAGAGTAAGAAGGAGGGTCCAGTTTTTAGTGTGTGAAATGTGAGCATCATTAATGAATGAAATGTATATAGATACAAAATGGGATCAGTAATACAAACTTTATCACTTTTTTCACAATGCAAACGACTGGCCGAAGTTTTGAAAGAAAGTGTCCTGAAAACTGAGACCTTTATTTTAAAGTAATATGTGCTTCCTTGCGCTGGTGAGGCAGGGTGCAGCAACATCCTATGGCCACATCAGAGCAGGATGACTCACTGAGGGGCCTGGAGCATCAGCAGGCACTTTGTGGGCACGTTGAGACAGGCTCTCCCCAAAATCCAGCAGAGTGGGTGCTTTGGTTAAGTTAGGACTCTCGTTTAAATAAGGCATGTATGAGGACAAGACTTGACTAAGGTGGAGCCTTTTATAGCTGATAAAGTGGCACATTTGAAAGAAAATTCCTAGGCGCATGCATTCTAAAAGCAGTTTGTGATCCTTGCTAAATCTTTCAAGTGGATCTCGGTGTGTACAATGGCTGTGGTTACAGCCATGGATGCACAGTTTTGTTTCAGGGTGAATTAGAAGATGCAATTTTGTGGCATCATTCCTTCTGCAGTGCTGTACCCTGTTTATCGGCCTTTCGCTCCTTAATAAGAAGCAAGCAAGATTTGAATGCACTTTGTTACTGAGAAGGGCACTTTTAAGTCAAAAGAAACGGGTACTTTCAAGTAAAAGAGCAGATGTGCTAAACAAAAAGGCCCATCCAAGTGGTGATACTTAACTCTTATATACTTATACTTCTTCTTTTTTTAAATAGTAATTATTATTATTTTGGCTTGTTCATAAGTGTTGATTTTGTTCAGGTCTTGACACCGAGCTGCCAAAAAAAGCGCAGTCACTCAAGAGAAAGGACAGGGTGAAGATTTTGTTAAAATTGTTGATGAAAGAGTAACAAAGGATAATATGAAAGCATAATGATTAATTGCACTTAAAGTTGATTGAAAAGTTCTCTATTTTGTCTTAACACAGAAGAGCGTAAGGTGTGGCAGCATCTGCAGGGATTTATGACAATTATCTACAACTACATACTCCTGTTTAGTTTGTTTCGCTGGTTAAGTGTAGTGTTCACTTTAAATTTGTTGTTGAAGGTCACACCCTAAGCATCACACTACTGTAAGTTACGAAGGAAGATTTTGTGTGACTGGACGATATGGCTGAAATAATCTTTTTGGAAATTCCAGTGTGAGAGCTTTTGTTTTTCACACCCCAAAACAGTTAATAATGCATCACATGCCTGCAAGGGTGTGTGGTAACTTTGACCTAGACCATCTCTTATCAACCGTTTCACTCATCGCCTGCATTCATCCCATAAGATCATCACGGTAGCTTTTAGATTTGTTTCCGGGATGTATTTGTACTTATGCCACGACCCAAATTTATTCTCCCTCATTATAGAAGCAGAAGTTGGAGTGGAATTGTTGTGGAAAAGCCTACTTGAGTCCCCTTTCTGTCTATTGTTTTTTTTCCTGTGATACTGAGTGTGAGAGTTTTAAACTTGTAATGCTTTCATTTGTTTTATTGTAAAATGTGTTGCTGCAGCTTGTTTGTTTTCTAGCAAAGATAATGCTAGCTGTGTTTGTGGGGTTTAGGGTTAAATGGTGGTGGATAATAGGGAGGGTTAGGTGGGTGGGAGGGTAAGGGAGGTACAAAGCCTGATAGCACTGGAAATAGTGCTTTAGCTGAGAAAGTTTTTGCACTAAAAGTCACTCATGTCCTTGTCCTTGAAGGAGGGGGACTGGAGAACCGGGCAAGGCCTTTGAGTTTTTGTGAACACCGAGTCTGTTTAATCTCCACTTCACTTCCCTATATTTACATCTGCAATTAACTCTTTGAAAACCAAAGTAGAGAAAGACTAGGATTACTAAAGACTATTCTTGGCCATTAGAAGAAAGCGGTGAATCTCACATTTTCAACAACAGCATAAACAAAACCATTTCCGAGACGAGTGTAGGTCAAGAGTCCAAAAGCCACTCCAACAGAAATAAGCAGCTTGAGGAAAGACACAGTATTCATGGAATGGCTTATATCCAATGGTTAACAGGATCAAACCCTAAGCATCTGTGTGTGTAGCAGTTTGGTGGAGTTATTAGAGGTCTTGGTGAGTTCGCACAGACTCATTGGCTTGATCTGGAGGGGGGCATAAGCTTTGTTCAGTGGGTCCAAAATGAGTCAGGGGCAGAGTCTTGAAGCTTGACAAGTGGACAAGGATTTTGGAGAGAATGTGCCTTAACTTAAAAGGAGATTGGGAGGATTCTTCAAAAGGTGGCTTCCATTCCAGCTTCAGAAATGATTCTTGAATACTTGTTGGTTGGAATCTATGTTTTATTGTGGACATTTCTTAGAACCAAAAGGTTGCATAAGATCTTTGTCCAGAGATTGTCTAATACACCTCACCTTGTAAATACAACTAGTTAAAATTTTCTCCAGGTAAAAATTTGATTGCAGTGAGGAGATTCTGTCATCTTCCATTTAGCGCTGTTTATTGCTTCCGCCCCAATCGTGACTCCACTGACAGACACTACAGCGAGAATGTGTCTAAAAAACATTTCCATGACTTTAAAAGCACCATGTATGTAATATCCAAATATGAATCTATTTGTGTCTTTATTTGTTTAATTTATTGGACAGGATGTCAAAAAGCATTAAAGACTACAATGACAGTGATAACCGTAATAATCATGGAGGATAATCTTATTACAATTTTAGATGTTCTGGCTGGGTCGAAGCACAACTAGCTGAGGATGACATAATGCATGGCAAGATTCGCACAGTTGTTCTCACCTGATCCACTGCTGTTTGATGCCCAGCGGGCATGTTGCACAAGGAGCGGCTCATGGGCGGTGGGTACTAGTTTGCACAGATTGGGGAGGGTGGGTAGCATTTTTGTGCAGTTTGGCCAGGGGAACTATGTCTTATAAGGGGGGTTTGGAGAGCCTTGTCAGGTATTGCTGTGCCATTCGTGTACCTAAGGAATTTATAGCCATCTACGACTTTGACTGCCTCAGCTGGTTATGTTTCACTGATCAAGGAGATGTTCTGGAGAGCAGATGTCAGAGGTTGTGGTGGGAGGCAGGGGGATTTTGAGATTATGGGCCATTGTTTATGCTTCTCAGGTTAAATAATCATGGCAGTCCATGTCCATTTTTGTTGTTTGGTTTAAGCTCAAATTTTGCCTTCTGTGTAATCAAAGCTTTATTGTACTGAGAGTACACCAACCGAATATATATTATGAGTTATGAAGATATCGAAAAGCCAACTACCCATGTGACCACAATACCCTCATTTTTGTTTTGCCTAATAACTGTACATTCTTTTTAGTGTAGAAGGAAAAAAAATGGCAAAATTTTTTTTTTTTTATACATGTTTTAACATTCTAGAGTGGTGTAATGTCTCAGAATGAGGCCAAGACAGCAGTGAATTGTGGGATGGAGACATCAAGTCTGAGGTCTTCAACAAGTCAAGGATGCATTCCATAACTTCCTCTTAATAGCTGTTAGAACGAACAGATGCAGGTAGATGGGAAAAGAGGTGGTTTCTTTAAAGTTTTTCTCTTTTCCTCTACCCAGAATGTGCAGGGAAGAAAGTGTGTTGGGCTTCACAAACCCATCAAGCTGATAGCAGTTCTGTGATTGTAACAAAAAAGCACTTTGCGAAAGGCCATCCAGAATATTGTGTGCTGACTCCTTTGATTATTACTGTTGTTGTTATTGTTGTTTTACATCTTGTTAATGCAATTTTTTGTTATCTCATTGTGGATGTAATGATTTATTTAAATGCAAAAACTACATGAAAAGAAAAGAAACTTGAACATGCGATATATTTGGGTTGAAGTCCATTTGAACTGCCGCCCCGTACCACACACATCTCTGGAAAAACACACGAAACAAGGAATGGCATATGTTCAAGTTGTCATACATGTTTTCTTTTAACGGTTTTGCACCTTTAAACCCAAATCTCATTACAAAGGACTTCACTTTTGCTTAAAGGACATTTCTTCTTGGGTTTCAATTGTTCTGCAATATGCTTCATAGACAAATACAGAATTTATAAGAGAGTAGATCTAGATTATTGGTATTGTTAGGGCGTAACTATGCCAAACAATGTCCACTAAAAGGCTGCAGATATGCAACTTGCAACCCTGTCCAATGCAGTCAGGTTTGGACCATTATACAACTTTCCTGCATATGGACAATATATGATATCTACTTTCCTTCTCTGTTTTTAAGACAGTAAAATATATTTTCCATAATGTTTTTGCATAAAGTTTAAGAGTTTATAAGGGACTCATTATATACTCTATTCCAAGCCAACATCTCTTGTACGTTTCACATTTCTTGCATCAAATCTGTATGCTTAATTCATTATGTGGGTAATCAGCTGAATGGACACAAGCTCTGCACAGAAAACAACAATTCATTTTAGGCTTTGGGGGCACTTTTAAACACTTATGTTGACTTTGGGGCGGCAGAAAATTCCCAGTGTCTCAGGCTTGGACAGCAGAAACCCTTTTTTTTTTTTAATGCAAGTCCTGTTCCTTTCCATTGTCTGTCAGTGTGTGTTGAAGCTATTGAGATGTACAGGAGAATTTGGGAGAACTTGCACTTTTGGCGATGAAAAGAATTTGTATTGTATATGAGACCACTAAATCTACATCGTCTAAATCAAACAATTCCATGTTGTTTTCCTTTTTCATTTTATTCTTTTTTTTTTTTTTTTTAATTTTTTTTTACAAAATATGATTTAAGACAAATTATAAATTAAATGTGTCCTTTAAAACTACATGAAAAGAAAAGAAACTTGAACATGCGATATATTTGGGTTGAAGTCCATTTGAACTGCCGCCCCGTACCACACACATCTCTGGAAAAACACACGAAACAAGGAATG